CCCCCCACCCTTCAACAAGGTCCCACTGTAATCTCTTTTCTCCCATTTCCCCATTCCATCAGGATTTTGGCTGTGCATACATATGTGCCTGGAGTGTTTTTAAAGCTGCCAGGGCCAGGACATAACCCATAGTTAGCCATGTGGAATCTAACTTTCTATACACAGCATTACCCAAGAAACATTTACATACTTCCTCACTGAGTTGTTTTTTTTTTTTTAACACTGATAATTTATTACTTTCAGATTATAAGATAAAACACAAAAGTAAAATACTTTCTGCTCTACTCTGGTTCTCTCTACTCTTTCATACCATCCAAATTTCTCATTATTCAAATTTCTATTCAAAATGCATTTCTTCCTTCCTTTTAAAATTTCTGTCAGGGGCCAGCAGATAGTGTAGCAGTTACATCATTGAACTCCCACATGGTTGACTATGGTTCTAGTCCCAGACCCGGTGGCTTGAAATTCATACTGGGCACGTGCGCATGTGTGCCCAAGATCCTGAGAAGAGAATGGAGGAGAAGGGATTGCAGTGTGGCCATCCTTCCTTGGGGGGTGAATTCTCACTTATTGTCTCTATCACTGTCTCTCTCTGGAAAGAACACACGTCCTAAGGCAAAAACCTCTTAAAAAAAAAAAAAAGGAAATTTCTCCCAGAGGGTACATGCTCTCATCAGAGAAAGACAGAGAGAGAGAGAGAGAGAGAGAGAGAACCCTCCATGGAACATGGTAACATAGCAATCACTTCCCCTCCATTTTTCCATCCTGTTGGGATTTGGGGCATGTACACAGCATGTTTCTCAAGCCTCTAGGTCTGAGATTGAACTACTCTGACAGTCTTGTGGGATCTAGCTCCCTTAAGCACAAGTCTATGGAATGGTCCTCAAATGTACTTCTTAACCCTCACATTTATGGTCAATTAATTTTCATTGAGGCTGTCAAGACAATTTAATGAGGAAAAAGTTTCAACAAATGGTGCTTGGACAACTGTACATCTATATTCAAAAGCATAATGTTCACACCACAGAGTGGCAGCCAGTGGCATCATCACTAAGGTGGCTGGATCTTACATGGCCAACTATATGGTCTGAATCTCAGATCTGGGGGCTTGAAAATCATGTCAGGCATGTGGGTGTGCATGCCCGGAATCCCAAGAGGAGAATGGAGGAGAGGATACTATGGTGTGGCCATCCTGCCTGGAGGGTACTTTCTCATTTTCCCTCTCTCTCTGTGCCTCTCTCCAGCAAGCACATGCACTCTATTGCAAAAACTAAAAAGTTCACACCACATACAAAAATTAACTCCAAGTAAATCAAAGACCTTGATGTAAGAATAAAACTATAAAACTCTTAGAAAACATAGGGGTAAATCTTGGTTGATTTGGATTTAGTAATGATTTGTTAGATATGACATCAAAGGCACAAGCAGCCTAAGAAAAAATAGATAAATTGGACTTCTCCAAAATTAAATTTCTGTATATCAAAAGATAGCTTAAAAGATCTGGAAAGATAACTTATAAAATGGGAGAAGATATTTGCAAACCATATATCTAACAAGTGACTTATTTCTAGAATATATAAAGAACTCTTACAACTCAACAATAAAAAGACAACTCCATTAACAAATGGGCTGGGACCAGCAGGTGTCATGAAGTTAAGGCAGCTGGATATGACAAGACCTACAGCGTGGCTCGAGTCTCAGAACTAGCAGCTTGAAAAACAAGCCAGATACGTGTGCATGCATGCCTAAAATTCTGAGAAGAGAATAGAGAAGGGACTGTGGCATGGCCATCCCCCCAGGAGTGATTTCTCAACTTTCTCTGTCACCTTTGGCAAGTACATGCCTACAGCAAAAAAAAAGAAGAATGACAACAGGCAAAGTATTTTAAATAGGTATTTCTCTAAGATAAGAATAGCAAATAAGCATATATAAAAGTGTTCAAAATCATTCACTATTATAGAAATACAAATCAAAACCATCATTCTCTATTAGAGAAATACAAATCAAAACTAGGTTGTGGTGCTGGACTCCCACATTGTCGACTGTGGTTCAAGTCCCAGACCCGGTTGCTTGAAACTCATGCCAGGCATGTGTGCGTGGCTGTCCAAAATCCTAAGAGAATGGAGACCAGGACTGTGGTGTGTCCTATCCCCCCTGGGGGAGTGGTTTCTCTCTCTCTCTCTGTTTCTGTGTCTCTGGCAAGTACACATACACACCATAGCATAAATCTCTTAAAAAAATACACAGACATATTGAGATACTTCATACCTAGTAGTATGGCTAAAATAAAAAAGACTTATAAGCTCTTTCCAGCAGGCACCGAGCAATGGGTACCTCTCAGGACAACTGGCACAAGTGCCAAAAGACTAGAGGCAAGAGAAAGCCCTACCACAAGAAGTAGAAGTATAAGCTGGAATACCCTGCTGCCAACACTAAGATTTGTCCCCCACATCCCGGAATATACACAGTCCATGAGCAGGGAGGTAGCAAGAAATACTGAACCCTGATACTGGATATGGGGAACTTTTCCTGGGGCTCAGAGTTATACACGCAAAATGAAGATGTTATCTACAATCCATCCAATAATGAGCTGGTCCAAACCAAGACCCTGGTGAAGAACTACTTTGTGTTCATTGGCAGTACACCATACCGACGATGACTCCTGAGAAGGAAGAGATTTTAAACAAACAGTAACCGAAGAAAATTCAGAAGAAGTATGATCAGAGGGAAAAGAATGTCAAAATCAGGAGTTTCCTGGAGGAGCAGTTCCAACAGGGCAAACTTCTTGCATGCACTGCATCAAGATAAGGCCCCTGTGACCAAGAAGATGGCTATGTGCTCAAGGTCAAGGAGCTAGAGTTCTAGCTGAAGAAAATCAAGGCCTGAAAAAGGCAAATAAAGCTTCTTTCCTGTCTTTGCTCATGTACTAGTGTGTTTATTGTTCCTCTCCCCACAAAAAGACATAACAGCAAGGTCGGTGAGAATATGGAGAAATTGGAACCATCTTCCACTGCTGGTAGAAATGTAAAATGGTGTAGCCATTTGGAAAATAGTCTGGCAATTCCTCAAAGGGTTAATGTAAACCGTTTGCTATCATAATTATATTCCTAGGTATATACCTGAGAGAAACAAAAAAACCCCTATGTTCACAGAAAAACTTGCACACACAACTGTTTATAGCAGCATTATTCATAATAGCAAGAAAAGGTGGAAATAACCCAAATGTACTTCAATGATGAATAGATAAATGTGGTATAACCACACACCAGAATATTATTTGCCTATAAAAAGGAATGAGGTAGTCATACATGCAACACATGGGTGAACTTTGAAAACATTAGGCTAAATAAAAGAAGCCAACCACAAAAGGTCACATAGTGTGTTACTACATTTATGTTAAATGTCCAGAATAGGTCAATTTATAAAGGTAGAAAGTAGATTAGTGACTGCCTGGGACTCTGGGTTTAAGAATGACTGCTAGTGGGTATGGGATTTCTTTGTGGAGTGATAAAAATGTCCTAAAATTGATTATTTTTGTACAACTCTATATACAGTAAAATAACACTGGGACCAGCCCCCTAGCCTAGCAGTTGAGGGAACTGGATCCCACATGGCCAGCTGAGGTTCAAGTCCTGGCCCAGCAGTGTGAAAAACACACTGGGCACATGTGTATGCAAGCCCAAGGTCCTGACAGGTTGGACAAATAGAGCAAAAAGGACTGCAGCATGACCACACTCCACTAGGGGTGCTTTCTCTCTTTCTCTGACAATTGCCCTCTAGCAATTAAAAGGAAAAAAAAAAAGGCACTGAACTTTACACTTTGAATTGAATTGGGGCCAGCAGGTGGTATGGTGGTGAAGACATTGGACTCCCACATTGCTGACCATGGTAAGAGTCCCAGACCTGGAGGCTTGCTTTCTCATTCTCCCCCAGCCCCCTGACTCCTACCCCCATCTCTGGTGAGCATACCTGCCCTATATCAAAAGAAAGAAAAAAGAGGGCCGGCAAGTGGCGTGGTGGATAAGGGCGCTGGATTCCCACATGGCCAACCACGGTTTGAGTCTCAGACCGGGTGGCTTGCTTTCTCACTTTCCCTCTTTCACTCTCTCTCTCTGTGTCTTTCTGATCAAATTAAAATAAGTAAATAAATAAAATGAATGAATAAATAAAATTAAATAAATAATTCTTTAAAAAAAAGAAAGAAAGAAAGAAAGAAAGAAAGAAAGAAAAAAGAAACAATAATGGGATGAACAGAGGGCATAATGGTTACATCACTGGACTTCCACGTAGTCAACTGTGGACTGCGTCCGGGACCCAGTGGCTTCAAACTCACACCAAGCACATGTGCGTGCATGCTCAAAATCCCGAGAGAATAGAGGAGAAGGGATTGCGATGTGGTCATCCCCTCAAGAAGTGATTTCTCACTTTTTGTCTGTCTCTTTCTGTTTCTTCAGCGAGAACACATGCCCTGTAGCAAAAATCTCACTAATAGAAAAAAATGGGGCTGGCAGGTGGTGTGGTGGCTAAAGATGCTCGGCCTCCCACAAGGATGCTGGACTCCCAACATGGCCACCCATGGTTCAAGTCCTGGACCTGGCGGCTTTCTCTCTCTCTCTCCAGCCCCCTCCCAATCAAATTAAAATAAATAAAGTTAAATAAAATAATTCTTTAAAAAAAGAAAAAAGTAACAATAATAATAAATAATTCTAATAATTAATTAAAATTGGTGAATTGTATCTCAATTAGGCTGTGAAAAACGTACTTCTTCCATGGAGCCTCCCCTTTTTCCTATATACTCCACATTAACTTCTTTATTCTTTTAACACCTACAGTTCTTGAAAATTGTACTGCATAATTTAGTGCTCAATTAAATTACCTAATTGTGTTTATTATTATTTCATGTAGATTAGCCTGACTTGTCAGCCACACTGTATCTCTTGAGAGGAATGACTAAGTCTTCTATTTCACACATCTCTCCAAACTACCTAAAACAACTGAGCACATAGGAAGTACTCAGTAAATATCTGGTGGTTGTGAAGAATAGGTTGAATGAGAATGTGCTTATTTTCACACCTGTGTGAAACACACAGAGAAGTTGGGGGGATTCGTATATTCTTAGATAGTGAGGTGAGAGAATGACACTATGTGAAACTGCAGAATATAAGGTTTATTATTAAGGGAAAAAACAGCATAGTTTAGGTAGTTTTGCTCCCTCCTTCAGCCTCCTGCTGTTCAATGACACCACATGGCCAACCATATCCTGGTCTCTGAGATTCTAAGTGAGTCACTGAGGTCCTATCTAGACACTCAGCTGTCTGGTGCCACTATTCTCCCATTGCTTCCTCTTCTTCCTCCTCCTCTGTCCAGCTCAGATCATCATCTGAATCCTCAGATTCTTCCTCATCCATCTCTAACACAACCCCTGCCCTAGTCTTCTCAGCTAGAGCATCGGGGTGCTCCAGCTGTGCCCAGGATCCTGGGTCAGCCTTGACCAGGGAGATTTCAACCCGAGATGGCATCAAGGAGACGGAGCTCTGCTCCACGTTTATGACCTGAGGAAGTGGGAAAGATAGAGGAACACAGAAGAAAGACGATGATGAAATCAAAGGGATTGGGGTTGGGGTAAAGTGATAAATGAGAGAAAAGATTAAATGAAAAATTGGAAAAAAGGGGGAATAAGACAATATAATAAGGGGGGGGAGAGAGAAGGGAGGGGAAAGAAATAAGAGAGAGAAAGGGATAAGACAGTAGAGGGAAGGACAAGGAGGAGGAAGGATAGGGAGAGAGAATATGAAAGCAAATGAAGAGAAATCCTCCACTTTCCCACTAAAACTCCTTCCCTCAAGAAACCCCCTATTCATTCCAGTCTAGTTCTTCTTTCACCCCATCTGCCTCCCCCTCCTGTGCCCACTTCTCTTCACTTACCCCCCAGAGCTTCATCTGTGCTTGGAACACACGGTTACCATCAAAGACAATGTGGACATGAAGCTGAGAGAAAAGAATTATAGGGGTAGTGACAATCTCAGAAGGTCTGAACAAGTCATTCCAACAGAAAACCAGGCCAGAGGTGTGATCCACAGGCCAGGCACACAACCCTGACCTAGTAGCTCTCCCTTTCTCTCAGGATACAAAATGGAGCCTACAGGTTAACTACATACAGCTACTCTGCAGGTAAGGTTGTAATATCACACGATTCGCTAACCTCCCATCCAGCATCAGATCATTCCTCACCTCAGTTTGACTGGCCTTCACCCAGTTGAATGCAGGAAGCGGAATCTGGCCATATACAGTCACCACTACTAAGGAATCTGTCTGGTGCCAATCATGGCGGCAAGATGCTGGAAGCTAAAGAGAAGATGTGAAATATGGGTGTAAGAATAAACTCTTGGGAACAGCAGGTGATGTGGTGGTTGGGGTGCTGGATTCCCACAAGGCTGACCGTGGTTTGAGTCCCAGACCTAGTGGCTTGCTTCCTCTCTCTCTCTCTCTCTCTCTCTCTCTCTCACTCACTCACTCACTCTGTCCCTGTCTGGTGAAATTAAAGTAAATAAAATAAGGTTAAATAAAATAATTCTTAATAAAATAGTCTTAACCCAAGAGTAATTTTCATTGTGCCTATAGAGCAGAGACAAGAGTCACAGAAACATTGACAGTACCTCATCTTGCAAAGCCTCTGGGCTGTTGAGGGATAAGAAACAAAATCCTACTTGGTTTGTGTTAAATGGAAAATATAGGGAGCTTGGCCATGAGATACAGGAGGTTGGTTCTAATCAAGAGTCAGGCAAATTAGGGCTTACCTGCTTCCCCCAGTCATGTCTACCAACTCTACATCCTGGCTGTGCTAGGAATGCCCCAAAATCCAGGGTCTGGATGCCACAACAGCTCCAAGACTTCATCCTGAGGTAGAAAGATGATTCAGTTGAGAGACCAACAGATGGCATAATTGTTATGTCGCTGGACTGTGGTGTAATTGATTGTGGTTCAAGTCTGGAACCTGGAGGCTTAAAATTCATATAGGGTGCATGTGCATACATGCTCAAAATCCCAAGAGAATGGAGGAGAAGGGATTGTGGAGTGGCCGCTCCCTGGGTTGTGATTTATCGCTTTCTTCTGTCTCTCCGGCAAGCGCACATGCCCTATAGTAAAAAATCTCTCTCAAAAAAAAAAATATCCAGTTGAATCACCCCTCTCTTCAAGGTCCCACTCCCATCTTATGATAAATACTAGGCAAAACCTGTCTCACAGCCTATCTAGTCCCTTCCCTCACCCCTCGTGGAATCGAGGTGCTCCTGGATGGTAGGTACATGGAGAAGCATCACTCTCAGGACCTTGGTAAACCTAGGAAAGATAAAGGAGAATCAGGTCATTCCAAGGTATATCCCACTAAGCTTCATATCTACATCTACTCATCCCTCAAATGTAGCCTCTCTCAGACACATGCTTGATCTCCCCAAGATTCTCACTCACAGCATCACATCCTGGGTTCTGGCAGCTGGAACCAGTCCGAATCAGACTACTATCAAGTCCTGGTTAAGGGAAACAGAGTCAGGAACCTAATCCATTCCTCCCACCCACCCATTGCTCATTCTACTAAATTTCAGTCTGTGAAGGCCTGTCCTCCTAAGGACCCACCTACCTGCCCCAGGTTCCTGGTCTAGTTCCTTCTGTTCCAATGCCATTTCCAGGGCTTGGGATATACTTAGTGGCAGCAGCTTCAGAGGCAACTCTGACCTAGGGGTCATGGGTAGTTGATTTAGTTCTGACCTATTAACCATGATTGCCAGCTCCAACAATCATACCCATGCTAACAGATTCAAGTCGGATCAAAGTAAAGCAGAGATGGAGACGTTGGGGAGCAATCCCATTGTCAATTATCATCTCTGTGGACATACCAAATCCCTGAACCTTGGGGGAAATCCCCAGAGCGTCACGTACCCATCTACTTGTTCTGATTAAATCTAACCACATCATGTCTGCAGGATTGCATCATTTCCTCTTCTTCCTCTGTGGACCTACTATCATGTTTTTCTCTTATGCCTATTATTCTCACAGAATTTATTCATTCTCTGCAGTCTCCTGGCTTCCGACACTACATCCTTTTTCTCTTCCTTTCAGATTATTGCCACAGGGCACATAAACTTGCCAGAAAGACAGAGATGGAGAGATGAAAGTGAAAAAGCAACCCCCAGGGAACCAGCAGTTAGCGTAATGGCTGTCGCTGGACTCCCACGTAGTCGACCGCAGTTCGCGTACCGGACCCGGTGGCTTAAAACTCACGCCTGGTGTGTGTGCGTGCGTGCCCAAGATCCCGAGAGAATGGAGAAGGGATTGTGGCGTGACCATCCCCCTTGGGGGTGATTTCTCACTTTCTGTCTCTATGTCTCTCTCTCTCTGTCTGGCAAGCGCACGTGCCCTATAGCAAAAACCTCTCCAAAAAAAAAAAAAGGAAAAAAAAAAAAAAAAAAGCAACCAAACTGGGCTTGTTTCCAAGTCACTGAGCCTGGGACTCGAACCACAGAGTTGGATATGTGGGATCCAGTGCCTTAACCTTCACATCACCTGCTGGCCTAGTCACATCCTTTTCTTGATGTAAGATTTATCTTAAAGCTCTTTTCCAGAAGGGGGGGGGAAAAAAAAAAGGCGAGTCATCCTCAAGTGTCCTCCTTGCGTTGTGTACCAAATATATATTTGTGAGGGACTACTTTGTTGAGTCAAGATTATCCCATCATCTTATACCCCCTTAGAGAAAAACTATTTCCAGACACAGATTTCTCCTAAGATACAGAATTTATACTATCCGAACTGTGACGCCTGGTCCTTACGTCTCTGGCCCCTAGTTCCCAGATCCCAATGACTCATAAATCACTCCTAGGAAGCTGCACAAATGTAGGAAAAACCGAGGGGCCTTCTCTTTACTTGGGCCTTTCCCGGCGCAAGGTCTCTGCTGACTTTGGAATTGTATTCAGAGGTTTTTGTTCCTGGAGTGAACGGCTTGTAGCTGGGCCCTCAGGTTGATGGGCCTCAGGAAGTTTCTCAGCACAGTGTGGTCCCATAGTACAGCCCTAGCATAGATAAGGAAATAAGGATTAGGAATCAAACCCTTCTACTAGGGGGAAGAATCCAAGGATGTAAAGGATTTACCTTGATATTTAAGAACTCAGAGAAATCTACAGTTCGCTTTCGGCAGCAAGACCAGCCCTGATAACAAGAGACCCAGATCAGCCTAGATTCTTGGGTATATTTCCTATGGGAAACGATCTCACTATCCCCTCACCTACTCCTCACCTTAAGTGCATCATGGAAGATTGGGACCCCGGGGTGATGGCAACAGGAATCTGTGGATACCAGTAGAAGGATCAAGGAAGAAAGGGTGATTATGCCAATCACTTCTCACCTTTATCCCCAGGTTTTTTATGGTTTCTTCCCATATAATGTAAACAAGGGGAAAAAAATCAGCAAAGGTTTAAGATTACCCAGGCCAATTACACTAGAATAGATCCAAGGTTTCTTTCCCTGTTCCTTTAACAGACAGCCCCACACCTGACCACCCTTCACCACCCAGAGTACCTGGCTAGGTCAGGAATATTCACTCACCAGGAAGGTTGGTAGTGGGGTCAAAGTGTTGCCCACAGCCTTTGTTATGGCAAAGCAGAGACATGGAGGCGTTGGTAGATTACTGAAAGGGTATTTCAAGGAGTCTGACTGCTGAGTGGGAAACACCTCTTGGTCTGGAGGCTTTTAGCTGCCTAGAAGGGCCAGCTGTTTCTATCTTTAGTTCAGGAGGCGTACACCTCCTAACATGGGCAAGGGAACTTCAACTGGTCTTCCCAGCCAATAGGAAAGAGCTCAGGAGCATTTCAGCTCTGAGGCTCAGGGAAGAAGGATCAAGCAGAGTAGGGCTTTGGAACTTGGGTGAGGTCAGCTAACCACTGGTGAGACAGTTTTAGATTTGCCATGCCAATTCCAAGCCTCTGACATACCAGCAGCTGCTCACAAATGAATACCAATTTTGAGCTAGCCCCCCACCCCAAGCTCAATGAGAACCCCAATCCCTTCAGCCCATTTTATCCCTTTCACTGCTGTTAGTTCCATGTAATACCAACACATTGATCTTTGCCAACTTCAACCAAAGGGTGCAACGCACCCCCATCCCCTCCCCATGTTTGCCTTGATGGATGACCAATATCTCAATGAAAAGGCTCATAAAATGATTAGAATTCCTTCCCCCCTTCAAAAATAGCACAGAAAATTAAAAGGCTTAAAATGTATTTTAATAACTTGATGCTGCATTACTGCTCCATTTCTCAGAAAAAACTCCAAATGTAAGATATCAGAACAAATCAAACATGGTACACCAATAAAAAAAAAAAAAGCACAGCGTAACTACTTAAGATAGGCAAGGCTAAGAGCTACTGTCAGACTTTCATATTACAGCAACCCTGTTCCCACGATTGTACTAGGCCTATCAAGAAAAGCTGTGAACAGCAACATCTCAGACACAAAGGGGCCTTTCCTGGGTTGTCCTTACCCAGGGGAAAAATAGAGGCAAGTTAACACAAGATTTTTTTTTTTTAAAGATATACTAAAATGAAAATCTCTAAGAGAAAATGTCTTCCTTAGGACAAGAAGGGGTCATATATGGGATAACAGAACCGTATGTACGCTGTGACCTCTGTGGACATTTGCCTGAATTCTCACCTGGGAGCAAATGGAGCAATAGGGCTAAGGTCATTGGGGGGATGCTTGGATTTTGTGGTACATGTGGCTGTGTTGCTGGGGTTAGGGAGTGTGGATGAGAAAGCAACTATAACATGATGGGCAAAAACGGAATGATCAAGATTAATGGGGCTTTAGCTGGATCCATTCTGCCATGGTTCCCCCAGGCCCTCAACAATCATAACAATCATATCTGATACTTAGGAATGTACCACATAGAGATTGATTAAACAATATACCACACAGAACTGATTTGTTAAATACCACCCCTCCCTTGCCCTCTGCCTCCAGTATTACTCCCTAGAGTAGTACAGGCAGGAAAGACCTAACTATTGGGAGGAATTCCTATGGAAGAAAGTGACTGGTCTTTGCTAGCAGATGGTATATCACAGAATAATTGGTAGGAAGGGCTGAATTGAGAAGGTTGTTTTTCTTTTTTTTTTTTTTCACACTGCACCACAATGCAAGAAGCCACATGGATAATCAAGACTGATTCCCAGGTCAGCTTTTTCTTTTTCTTTCTTTCTTTTTTTTTAATTGAAAAGGTTTATGCATGAGTTGTGTGCTGGGCATTTGCTTTTCAACAATTTGCGTAGTTGACAGGAAGGCTGTCTGAGTTCGGGATTCACCCATTCATCTTTTTAAACACCCTTTTTAATTTTTTAAATTTATATTTACCACTATTATTCCTTATTTTGCTACAGGGCTCATGTGTTCAACAGAGAGAGAGCAAGCATAAACCACCAGGTCCGGAACTTGAACACAGTCCACCATGTGGGAGTCCAGCACCTTAACTACCCCAACCACCTGCTGACTTCCCTCCTTTTGTTAGATGGTATGTGCACTTTCTGGGGGGGGGGGGGGGCGATCCCCCATGGGAAATGGCCACACCACAATCCCTTCTTTATCTCTCTTTTGTAGGACTCTGGACACACACACATGTGCCTGGCATGTTACTCAAGCCACCAGATCCAGGACTCAACTGGCGTGGTCAGTCAGGTGGGATCCAACTGCTTTTTTTTTTTTAAAAAAGAGATTTTTGCTACAGGGCGTGTTAGCTTGCCAGAGAGAGAGACAGAAAGTGAGAAGTTGTCCCCTGCGGGGTGGGGCAGGGGTGGGAATATAGCCACTCTGCAATCCCCTCTCTTAGTTTTCCTCCTGGGATCTTGGACACACATGCACATATATCTGGCTTGAGTTTCAAGACACCGGGTCCAGGAGTCCAGCAATGCAACCACTACGTCATCTGCTGGTTCTGGGATCAGGTACTTTAACCACAAGGTCACTAAGCCAGCCCAAACTATAGAGTGCAGGTATTCTCCAGAAAGAGAAAAGGTGAAAAGGCACCTCTTGGGTGGATGATTATGCCGCAATCCCTTTAACTCCATTGCCCTCTTGAGATCTGGGGCATCTATTCACATGTTTTTCAAGCTACCAGGTTCAGGAATAGAATTGCAGAGCCAGGCATAAGGGATCTATCTAAGCCACCTTAACCACCATACCACCGTCTGGTCCATTATCTTTTAACTTAAGTTACAGCTAGCCATGTTGGAATATAGTGCCTCAACCACCATGCCACCTGCTGGCTCCATCTTTTAACTTTTAATCCACATTCTTCACTACTGACTAAGTGATCATCACATATTAAATCCCTACATTGGATTAAGTCCTAGCTAAGACCATTTTCCTGAGCTAGATATCTGGACAACTGCAGGATAGCACTCTTCAGCAACCTTAAGCCTATTCAACTTGGGTGTTAACAATTTGACACTATGGGAACCAGCAGTTAGCGTAATGGCTATGTTGCTAGACTCCCACATAGTCGACCGCGGTTTGCGTCCCAGACCCGGTGGCTTAGAACTCATGCCGGGCGCGTGTGCGTGCGTGCCCAAGATCCCGAGAGGAGAATGGAGGAGAAGGGATTGCGGTGTGACCATCCCCCCTGGGGGGTGATTTCTCGCTTTCTGTCTCTGTCTGTCTCTGTCTGGCTGGCGAGCGCACGCACCCTATAGCGAAAACCTCTCCAGAAAACAATTTGACACCAGAACCAAAACACAGTCAGGATCATGAAATCTATGGATTCACATCTACTTTATGTGATCAGGTATAGCCTACACTGACCTCCCTCTCCTCCTAGAACCAGATCAATCCATTCATACTAACCCAGCATCAACTGAACTGACTGGCCAGTAGACAAAGGTATTTACTTAATTCCTATCCTAAAAGTACAGTCTGACATTGAATTTGTTCAAGTTTCAAAAATAAAGACCTTGAGGTCACATTTAACGGAAACTAGTATTCCTAAAGACTATCTATAGCAAAATTGAGACAGACCCAGAGATCGTGGAGATAAAGCCCTTCTTCCTACTACTACTACTACCATGTAGAGGTTATTGTAAGGCAGCTTATTACCAATCCCAAGGTTCCATCTGGCATCATAGTGGCAGGTCCTGGAGGAGCTGGGGTACCAGCTGGCACAGGAGCAGGGGGCATGGCACCTCTGTTGTTTATGCCCATGGCACCTAATGCAGAGTAGTGTAATCAGTACAGGGAGGTGATGATTAATTATTAGTCCCTTGCCAAAGGAAACAAAACCTCTGGATGAAGGCACAATGTGACCCCCCCCCACCCGACCCACAAACATGATGAGCCTGGAGATGTCAGCTCCTTAAGTCTAGACAAGGTACAAGCTACAACAGTTCATCAGAGACCAACAAAAAAAGGAAATGAGAGCCATTAACTTAAAACCTTACCTCCCATAGCCATCTGACCCATCCGTATCTCCTGCTCTCTCTGAAAAACAAAAAATACTCAAGACAGTCCAAAACAGCAGTGTATTCTACCACAATCCATTGAGGTCCACACTAAAATAAGTATAGACACAGTGATAACACATCCCACGAGTACTGAAACCAAGCTGAGGAACATCAATAGTTCCTTGGTACTTGTGCAGTGAGCTCAAGGTCACAGAGGTGCTAGGACATAAGATAAAGTATCCTATTTGGATCAGAAAGAGAGTTGATTTCTTCTAGGGCTCCAACTGTACAACTACAAAAACAGCAAAGGACTAGCCAAGGCTGATATGAGACTGGACATATTTCACCCTACGGTCACTAAATCTAAGTAGCAAACAGCAGCCTCGGCTTTTCTTCCTAAATTGCCTGTGAGGCAAGAACAGGCAAGAAGAATTTCAAACCTTACCTCTCTTCCCTATGAATTTGTTTTTTTCTAAAAGGATTTTCATAGCATAGAAAAATGGGTCATAACCTGGTGTCCTAGCAGACAATTCATTGTGGGTTTTGTCATGTCACGACTGGCCTGGTATATCATGGGCACGTGGGAGATATACCGCATCAGGGAAGGTTCCCTTGAATCCTTCCTGCTGTCG